ACATTTTTCTCTTCAGCTGCATTACCAAATAAGTCCATAGTACACACCTAAAGTCATTTAATAATTTCAACTTCTAATCTTAGCCAAAATTCAAATCCAATTTAAAAACTCATAAAAGCTCCCATACAAGTTTCACTGTTTTAAAGCAATTCTATCAAAACAACAACCAATAGTACTTTTCTAGGCATTAACGACCATACTGTTCTTTTTCAAGAAAGTTTAGAACGAAATGCTTACATCAACGATATCCATTAAACATGAGTCCAGGTCACCAGCACAAAGTTGTTCTTCCATAGCTGACAGTAACTTGTGCACATAGAAAATCATCACATGAAGCTAAAATGAGTATGGATTTTCCTCAATCAAATTAAAAAATCCATTCTGAAAAACGATGGCTTTCATAATGGCAAGGATATATATTAAGTATGAATATTTCCACTAACCAACCAACACATATTCCAGGTTGAAGATCTTACTTTTTTGTGAATCTATTGACCAATATGGAAAGTGAGAGTGAAATGAAATCATTCCCTAATAATCCAAAATGCTCAAAAAACAAGCATTGCTTTAAGATATGTAATCATATGAAGGAGGTAATGGAAGAAACTATCACAGTTACGAGAATTAAATTCACGAGTCCTAAACAAAATATCTATTGAAAAAAGCATCATTGACACAGTGAACGAATTATATAAAGCTACTAACACTAATTAACTCTCAAGTCTAGTTAACATATAACTGAAAGATTTAAAGAAAGTAAAAAAAAAGAAATTTCTCCATATATCTAATAGAGGAGAGTTGTGATAAAAAAATGTACCTGATATCCTTTCTTCATAGTTTGCTTCATTTCTCGTATTATCAAACAAATATATTTGGGACCCAAAATTTTAGCAATTTCGATAACAGTCTTACCTGCTGCTTCCCGTACATTAGTTGATCGTGAGATCAATAAAGAGCAATTCTTGATTATCACACTGTAAAAACAATAAAAGTCCAGTCAAAATTCAGTCGTTCATCACATAGAAAATTTAAAAAGTCACGATGAATTCTATCCGAACATATATAACGTCTACTTATATTGAGACAAACTTGCTACAGTTGATCATATGGTGTCGTAATTCTAGGAGTGACAAATTAAACATGAGAATTACCCAGGCAAATTACAGTCCATAACTTTTTGCGGCATTTTCTGAAGTAATTTGACAGTAGCCAACGCAACGGGAGCCCTTTGTATGTCATCGTCCTCTTTGTAATATTTCCCAGACTGAGCTTTTCGATGAAATATTAAGTCCTACAATCATCAACTCTTTTATCCATTTAACAGTTTACTTAAGAGAAGCTAGCTGAAAAGTGAGAAATGAAGCTAAAAAAAGCGAGAGAATATTTTCAGAACTATATACCGTCTGAAGTTTGTGTCCGAGAATAGTTAGATTTCTTTCTTAATTTCGAAAAAAAATTAAGGCTTATACTGATTTTTTTTCTATGAACTGAAAGTTTTCGTCAGGATCGACTCGAAAAAATAGTGAAAATTGGAAAAATCTCAATGTCAAACATTTAATTTCTCAATTTCAGGGCTTATTTATAAAAAGCTTTCTGCTCCGTCCAATCGTTCCAGTTTCTGTATTCTGGTCGCCTTAATCTATTAAGCTAGCATGCTTTGCTGGCTGGCAGATGAACTAATCATGTGCTATTTAAAAGCAAAACGAAAGCTTGCTTACTTTACCAGTAGCGCAGTCTTTCAGTTGTGGTATTAGATACCCGACAACCTTCTGATGTATTGATGAAGTGCACTCATTTAATGTATGGTTCGCATCCACTTTAGTTGTGACTTCTTCAATCCCAGCTTTCACCCAAACGTCAGGTGTATCACTTGTCTGAATTTCTACCTCATCATTCATTTTTTTCCGCTTTATAATAGGTTCTTGTTGTTTTTCATTGGAAATTTCAAAGTGAAAAGCGTCCACAAGCGCAACAATGATCCTGCAATCATACAGGTCTTTGAAACAAAAACGGGCAGAACAAACACATTATTATTTATAGCAATGATGAAGCATGCTGCTGAGGACCAAATTTTTATCCTAAAAAGTTATATAAGAGGGACAATAAAATATTTTTTTCATAAATGTAACATTATTTCTTGATGGAATTTGAATTATAGAGTTTCAAGGATTTTGTTTTCTCGATTTATAGTCCATGCAGTGGGAAGGATGAGAGGAATTCCTGACCTTAAGAGCGATACTCACAAGCTACACTACTGTGGAACCCATAAAACACTGAACAATATAGAACTAAATTTTTAAAAAATGTATGCAAAAAAATATAGCTTTATGGAATAATTTTAATTGTGGATTCCCAAACACAATTAAGAAGGAAAAAAAGCGCAAAGACAGACTAAATCTTCTCAAATGCAAAAAAATAGCAACTGGGAATGTGAAGCGAGAAATCCAATCTATCTGACTAACATTGATCGAAAAAAAATGCAACTTGCGGATCTGATAGTCGTAAAAAACACCAACAAACATTATGGCTCCGAAACAAGAAACATCAAACATACTGGGCAGTTGAAATGTACACAGAAGAGAGATTCTGAGAAAGTACTTAAAGCAAGGATGTGAATAATTATTTGACAGTAATATTGTTAGTAGCAACTGAATCAGTCAGATTTTAAGATGAAACAGAATTAAAATAATTCTATTTCATCTTAAATCCGAAATGGAATTAAAAATTTTTATATCATTTCTAGTCATCATCTGCGAAGCAAGAATCAGCTATATTTTTACATTAATTAGTCCATTGAAATTCAACCACGTAAAACTTTTAAAAAAGCTAACTGGAACATACAAAAAAAAAATCCGATTAGCAACGAGCCAGTGAAATTAGGGCTCTGCTAAATCTAAATCTGAAATTTCCGAAAAAACATAGATCAATCATGCAGTGATTATACGGAGAATAGATACGCAGTAAATATTCCTATCGACTTACTTTGAAATGAAAGTTACATCTACGTCTCAGTACAAAATAAAAAACATGTACAACATTCCGAGTTAAAAACTGAAAAGACCATTCAAAAAAAAGAATTTAACAACTAACCTTATAATTGCTTTGTGATTAACATTCATAGTTTCTTTTCTCAATCGCTTCATATAGAAATCCAACATCGGGAAGTATCTGAAAAATGGATTAACGATGTATTCGCTGATGCCGACTAGCACATTCTGCTCATGATCGCAGGAACAAAAAATTGAAAAGAGTTTACTCATCAGAAATATTATTTGAAAGAAAAAGATGGACAGCTAAGTTTATAAAGGATCAAATTACAAACATCGACTTACTTTTTCCACGGCGCACCACGCATTATTTGTGTAAAAAGTTCCAAAGCAACGTCACTAAGGGCGGATGTACTGCTAGATAAATTCATCAGGTAAGGTTGTAAAAGAGGTAGCACAAAGCGAAGCAACACTCCATTCGGAATGCGAACCTATAATGTAATGCCTATTTTTGAAGGACAATTCATGCTTATGCTTTAACGACTATTATGATAAATTTTTGAATCCATAAAATTTCCTAATTTTGTGCATATCCGATATAAATATTAACTAACTTTTTCTGACTGCAGGCCTCGAGTAAGCTTATAAAATGCACGTTGTCGTCGATGAATTTGCATATGAGTAACGTTCTCGAAAAAGTCCACATCAACTTCTACAGTATTCCTGAGTGATTCAAGATGACGAAGATGTCTGTGTGTCGGAAAACAAGCAATCATCGAAACCAGAAGATTTACAAAATCATGGCGTATTATCTAAAAGTAGATTTACAGCAATTGGTTACAAATTATTAAAGTTTCAAAATTAAGTTTGTCTTTTATATCGATAGAATTTAAATGAAGGATTACAATAACAAAAATTATAAAATACCTCCTTTGGATCATTTAAACCATTTAGAACAAGAGGCAATATATGAGAATCAACTCCATCATGTTTTTCACGTTCATTCATATTACATCTTCCGAAGTATTCGACAACACTGCGGAAATTTTTGATTGCTGCTGAACGCAATGAAATATCGCTTACCTGCACCAGGTATAAAAAAATATAAAACTCGCCGCCAAATACATTTTTTATAAGAACTGAACAAATTTTTACAAAAAATGATGTGTAGCAGCGATATTTTTGCTTTAAATTATTAACTTCTACATTTACAAAACATCACTTAAAAAATTATAGATACCTGAACAATAATATAATAATCATTATGCAACTGCAAATAGAGTAATATCGGCTCAATTACTTCGCCTGTTGTTAAAGCCTGGAAAGTTAAAAATAAACAAAAAAAAACTCATTTAAAAATAAACAAAAAAACAATCACTGTATTGAGAAAAAAATATTAGGATTGAAAATACATTCAAGTAATAAGCACAAACCTTAAGAAGATTTATATAAGCATCGTGTCGTTTATCATAATCCGGCTCATCAATTCGTCTTCCATCCCATGCATCTAGATTTAAAATATAACTCAATAACTCTGATTGCCTCTTATCGCTTTTCCTTAGCTTCATTGCTATGGCTTCTTCAATTTTTTGTAGAATTTCACGATGCGAACGCTCCTTTAGTGAAGACTGTATATTTATAAGATTTCTGAAAAGTTTCCTCATTTGAAGATCAGAAAATTTCATCACTAATATAGTGAGATGATATCACGACTGTAGTAGATGATTAAATATCAGTATCTAATACAGAAACTTTTCAAGATGTTATTACTTCAGATATCCAATTGTGTGCAGTGGTGTTTTTCGAACTTTCAGAGCGAAAATTTCACAATGGATATCTGGATGCTGCTTTTCAAAATAAAGTGATTATATCCCGAAATTATGAATATTTATATATATTAAAAATTATCAGCCTCAAGCATACTTGCTTAAAACTAGTAATCCGTTTGAAAATTACAATTTACAAGAAAATTCTAACTGAAGTTCCAGAAAATTACTTCAAAAACTGGGCCGCATCTGTTGTTACAGCAACCATTCGTAAAATAGTTAAAAGCGAAGACTGAACAGCATCATCAGAATGTACAACTCCTGATTCCAGGAATGTTAGTAGGATTAAAATATATCGTCTAATCATTTCTTCATCTTGTATAAATTCACTTATTCTAAAATATAGATCACATTTCAGAAATTATAACACCTTCCATATTTCTTCAAATGCCAGTGTGTCTTTAATGGTCATACACGCTTTACAGAAACAAAATTATCTAAATCCGAAGAAAGTATGCCAACCTATTCAAAATTTCCAGATGTTTCATGTTGAGTTTACGATTTTCACCCTGTTGAGGTAAGGAATCAAAAATAAATGTCAAAAGCTTCGGCAATTCAGGAAGGACCATAGAAGTTCCACTATTTAAACCTGAAAGGGTCCGTGTGCAAAGTAGAAAATAATAAAGAATCTTATATTGCATAGTACAAGCAACAGCTAAGTACTGTTAAGTTTAAAAGAACCATCCGAAACACACACATGATATGGTAAGGAAGATTTGCTATCATTGTATCATTTTATACACAAGAATATACACTTTACAATTTCCACAAGACAAATTGGAAATTTAATGCCCTTGGAGAAACAGTATGAAAATAAGTTTCACTTACCAGGAGTTTTTGAAAGTTTTATTAGGTTGGTATCTGCAGCTGCATCAGGCATAACCTCATCTGCCAAAGTAAGTAAATTCAACAAACCGTCAACAATTTTCTCTTTTATCAACTTGCTAACACTTTTCGATAAGAGCATGCTACACAAAATTGAAAGCAATGAGTGTGGCATGGTACTACTGACTGATGGAATTTGGAGACGTAAGAGATAGAATAGCCTGGAAAGTATGGAAATTTTCTGCCATCTGTCATTAAAAGTTCAAAGAACTAAATACATTTTAGTGAAAACAACATGCGGTATGATTCAATCAATAAAAAGGAAAAGATCGCTTAAAGATAAAAGTCAAATCAAATAATTACTTTGGAATCGATGTCCATGAAAGAAATAGTCGCAGAAGATTAAACGGAATCTTTGGAGAGCCGTCATCATGATACATGCATTGCGGGACAACAATATACACCAAAAACGCATTGATCTCATCGGCTTCAAGCATGCTATTTTGGCATACATAAAAAACCTAAAATTAAGAAAAATTTCGAAAGCAAACAAGCTACTTACAACTTTTAGCACCATTTACAAAATGTTCTCATGGTATAAAAAATGTAATTTCATCCTCTCTAGTCTACATCATATCAGAATTCATCATTAATGAACAAAATATAAGTGAATTGAGTCAACATTTTGATTCCAAAAGAATGTTTAATTCCTGAAATATACCTTTTAAGCCAATAAAATTCGAGATGAGAAAAAAACGCTTAACTCCTCCAATCACATCATATGCAAGAATTTTTACTCATCCTTTCCCTCTTTCTCAAATCTCTAACAGTCAATTAATCCAATTCACTAAATCTTTCACTGCATCCCACACATACGAAAGCTATATCAGTCCCCTCTAGGTCAAAAATTTGCCAGGAAGAAAACTCGCTTGGTATAGATCTTCGAATCAAATTATTATATTCTGAAAATATAATTTTAAAAGCAACAACGCGAATATCAATAGAAAGAGATAAGATCCAAACCAACTTCTTTAAAAGCATTACAAGCCAACCGACGCAATTCCTTAACTCGCTTCAGCAAATACGGTTGGACCGTAACCAAATTCTGCAATGCCAAACGAGAAAGTAACGCTGCAACCAAGCAAATTCGTAACAACAACCGTCTTTGAGCATTTGTTAACACTGATGAAAGAATGGTTGCTATCAATGAGATACTCCGGAACGACCTGAAATGAAAGTTAGCCAAAACCGAATTTCTAAATCGAACTTCAACGTTGGAACAATTTGACATGTTTGCATCAACAGTTTTTTGTTATTTATTCAGCCTGGATCTTTCCAAATTAAAAAGATAATATAAGGAAAGAGCAGAATAAAATCTCGGTGAAGTTTATTTTCTTTTGTCAACCTCCAACTAAAGACTCATTTACTGTATGCATTGAATAAATTGATCAAACCAATCAATGAAACTGGATAAGAATATTTCAAACAAACATTCCTGAGACAAATGCAGATTGTTATTATTTACTATATAAAGCTTATTGAATGAACCACTTCATTAGTCTCATAATGAGTATCTTTATTTTATGATATGCACTCTGAAACTGGTCAACTTCATCTTTTTTGTTCACTTATGAGTGTCTGAAGAATAGAAAAATGCTAGTGAAGCATTTAATATATATGCAATTCAAACAACATTTCGGGGAAAAAGCATATCAAATTTTGTCTGATCTTCGTCTATCTCTCAAGCTTCTTTATTTCTTCCAAAATCGAAACTAAAAATAACATTCTTTATATCCTTAATTCTCAATATTCGCTCTAGTCTTATTTTTGGCCACAATTAAACCTTACTACTGAACACCAAAATAGTGGGATAAGGCGTAACCGATTAGTAATAATACAGAAATGCTGTCAAAACCCTAAGTTTATTTTATTTTAACTTTCTTTAATTACCATATCGTTCAACTTCCATAGTTCTGCAAACGAAATCCATTCCATTTTAATGCTTTTGCACCCCATTCATCTGACTGTATCTTTCACTATGTTATCAACTGCTTCACGATATTCTCGCAATGATCAGTTAATCACCTTCCAAACAAAAGTCTGATAACATGATACGACAAAACACAACTGTTTCATAGAACTGTATTTTCAACTATTAAATAACCTATTTCTTTGTGTTCACCTAAATTGCAGAATGAGGAAAATCTATTTCTTAATTATTTACTCACTCTTTTAATGTTCATTGATCCAAAAAAAACTGTCTTAACGGAATATAGTCTCAAGAAGTGTTTCACTTTATCGTAAATGTTCAAAAATACAAATTTAAAATCGGTTTGAGCGTTAGATACCGAGACATCTTTTCATTACATCCTCAAAGCTGATAATAAAAAAACTAAGCTACGGTTTTTATGAATAATCCCCAAAACAGATGTGAGCATATTTTTTGTTCGGGGGTCATAAAAGCTTTTTCTCTCAATCAAACCCTCTTGTGACTTTTATGCACTCAAAATATGCTTTTATGAATAGTACAACTCATAAATGTTCGTTGGCTTATTTCTGGGAAAAGATCTTCAGAACAAAAAATCTCCTAAATCATTTCATACTCCACCTATGCCGGATTTTTCAATTCCCAAAAATTTAAGTAATCTCGCAACTATCCTTTCTCTGTTTTAATATCTATGAAAGTGAGATATGTTGAGATTATAAACGGCACCAACCTTTGATGGCGGATTTAAAGAGGATAATCTTTTCTATGACTCACCTTTCCTAAATGCACCTGATTTATCTATCTCAAATGCTTCCATTAAAATCTTCTTCTCAGCAAAAACTCGCAATCCTTTTTCAGGAAGGGAATCAATGTACTACTAATCGCTGTCTCTATTGAAAGAAAACTTGTCTGATTCCATGCAGTGTACGTCCACATGAAATCAAAAATAAAAACTCTCAGCGTGAACAATCATGCACAGATGTTAGTGCACTACTCAATTTAGCATCAAGTCCTTGTCTGAGCCCTCAGGCCAGTAAAGCCAATCACCTTTGGTTATAAATATTCAAAGAACTGGAGCGATCGATAACGATCGACAATTGAACAAATGAATGTAGTAAGTATATGGACATGTATTTAAGAACATTCACACCTTTTTATCTAAAAATTGAGAGATATTTTAGCCATAACCCATTTTCAATTAGTTACATAGATTTCTATAAGATTAGGAAAATTACTCGACTGCTACTTATTATTAGTGATTGTGCCTATTGCGAACATCAGTACCTCTTCGGTACCACTTCTTGCCATGTTGTTCCCGAACACAGTGAGGTTAGCAAAATAAATATAACATTATACAAGTTGTATAGTGTAGACACACATACATACTTAGAGATACATACAGACAGCAACACAACTGTTCATTTCATTTCATTTCAATCAGCAAAACTGCTCTGTAGCATATCCAAACTCATAATGGAGGTGGAGAATGGAGAGATGACTTCGAACGACTGCAATAGGATACATTATCGAATCACTATTATCACTATAATGTTCCATCCAAGCCTTAATTCTCGCTTATCTGAATTCAGTGAACGCTTCACTAAATACCTGTTAGGAGGATTACAATTTATTGACTTTTTGAACATCATCCTTTTTTGGCTTGCTCAAAATTATCGTCATGATGAGGCTTGGCCATCAGGATAACACACTTTATTGCTCACAACATCATTCCCTTGCTACTTGATTCATCGCAAACCTAATGTTTTCCAATCTATCTCCAGCTGAAGTTAATGCATTTCAGGTTTTGGAGCCGAAATATCATAATGGGTTGAGAAGAGACTGAGCACAACTCAAAATCAGCTTCACGTAAAAGAGGATGATCAATCATGTCTGTGCGTTCAGTGGATTTACGAGAACCCAGGAAGCACACATTCTGCCTATTTCTCTTCAATATTATCACCGCTGCACAAGCTGTCTTCGTGCAATCATCAGGAATTTTTAGCGAACAGGAATGCTTGTAAATTTTATTTAATCAACATAAATTTATCGCTACTATATATCAATTAAGAAACAGTTTCTGTGTAGCACGAGTTCCATACTTTTCATACCTACAGACTGTAGATAATTTTTTTACCAAGTGGACTTATCTAACTTTTTCCCCAATTACATCTTCAGTAACAAAATATTTTATGAATAAAAGAAATACATCCGACAAAGAAGTCAAAGGAAAGAATATCTGCAGATTCGACTCTACATTGCACTCCAAATGGAAAGCATGCAGTTGCGAAAACATTGATGGTGAGGGTAACATCCACGTGAGATGTCGCCGTCAACCATGGACAACCATACCAACCATTCCACATGATAACAGATCAATTTTCTCTCACAATGTTAGTCTAATTCCAGGTTTTATCATTTGATTTGCAGCGCACCACTACGGAAAAATTATTTGTGCTCATTTTAGGATACAGTTTACAACATTGTTGCATTAACGGTTATGCACAGTAGTGTGGCGTTTATCAATCAGGATGCATTCAAGCACCACAATATCCAAATTCTCGATCTCACCAATAATCACATCGAAACAATCAACGTTAACGCGTTTCGTGGTCTCGAGGTTCAAGGGTTCATCTCCTGCTTTATCCGACATTTCAAAAATTAAAAATTCCTGACTTTTCAAATATCAAAAAGCGTACTACATTTCCGATGCATGTCAGAAGTTGATTAATTCAAGAATGATAACAAAATTTTCAATTTTTTTCTTTCAGAACAAACTTTATCAACTAACATTAAATCAGAATAGTCTCACGTTAATACCATCCTGGGCCATGACGTACTTGTATCAGCTGCGGTACTTGCACTTGGCTCACAATATGATACCCGTGATTAAATCGAATACATTTGATGAAACTCAACTCAAAAATCTTCATTACTTGCATCTCGATTATAATCAGGTATCAAAATTCCTTTCAGTTTTGCTGTTACTATGCACTGCGAAAGCTTAACTACCAGTCCATGGTAGTTTCAGAATTTCAAAATACTTAAGACAATTCCTTCCTAATATTTAAAATTGTTTCTTATTTACAGATAAGTATGTTACCAAAAAAATCACTTTTGCGACTTCCACTGCAAGTGTTAACACTTTCAAACAATCGGATCATTGAAATTGAAAAACTAGCACTACCAACGACAGTTTGGTTCTTGGATTTGAAAAATAATCTCATCCCCGAGGTATCCATTATGTTTTTCATAAAGATCATCAAAAAACTTCAAAAACCAAATAATTTGGATGGATAAGTTCAACAAAAATTCGAAGATTTCACGAAATCCAAAAAATTTTAAGTTCGACTTTCATCCACTCACCAAAAGGCAGTTGTTCGATTATTCTAGAATTATGCGAAGCATGCAAAAAACCACTTGTCAAGATGATCATTAAGCTGATAAAAATTCTCTCTATATCAAACTTGACAATTTTACAAAGTAAATTCACAATAAGTAGCAAAACAACACGCTATAACAGTAATAGCTATGACAATAAAATTCCAAAAAAAGGAATTTGAAGGAAAAAGCCTATAAGAAGGAGATAAAAAGAGAATCGAATTACTGATTTCAGCTGTCACATAATGACAATTTCGATTTCCCATAATCGCCAAAGGATTTACTAATTTGCAAGCTTATATTGATAGGAATTAACACAAGGAACTGTCCAGTGATTCCTTTGATTTCAGACATCCGAAACAATATGCTACATATCACAATATTTTATAAAAATGTAGTAACGTCATATTTGTCACGTTAATTAGTAAACAGCAATATCTCACCCCGGTAGAATTTAGAATTGAGAGCACAAGTAAATGACAGTAATATGAAGTAGTAAGTGATGAAAAGATGTGTAATAAGGCAAAATGTATTGATAATGTATTTCAAATTTCCAGATACCGTACCTCGCGTTACGAGAGTTGAAACAATTACGCACTTTAGACCTGGAGAGTAACAATATCACTGAAATTACTAACAATCCTGAAGTAAAATTTACTTCGGAAATCGATTTGAAACTAAGTAATAATCGAATCAGACATATTAAAGATAACGCTTTCGATAGCTTCCAGAAGTTTGGTCGACTAGATTTAAGCTATAATCAGGTATGATCTTGGATATTATAATTCCAAAAATTAAATTAGAGATGGGAATTTAAGTCTAAAGATGATATCATTTATACAGTCCATTAATGAAATGATGCACATCAATCCTCACCCAGCAGACTTAAATTAGAAGACAATGCATGGAAAATATAAAACTAAAAGAAAGATCCGGAAGCTTATTTTTAACTTCAGATTTCAACAATCTCCGGAGCTGCCTTCAATTCAATCAGTCAAATGCGACAAATAGACTTAAGCTACAATAGATTAGTACATATACCAGCAGGTACATTCAAAAACATGGCCAAATCGTTGAAATGGATGAATTTGGAAGAGAATCAATTACATCAGCTACCAAATGCATTGCAGCCGTTACGGACATTGGAAATTTTAAATATGAATGGCAATAAGCTAATTGTGTGAGTTAATTTCCTTCTTCGATTTATGAGTGAAAAGTAAAGAATAAATAACAGGCCATATGATAATCGCTTTAAAAAATATGTCATCATTTACAGACTGAATAATAATACGATCAACAGCCTGAAACCAGTTTTAACAGAGCTTCTCCTAGCATTTAATCGGTTGACTGAGATACCAACCCAAGCATTGAATGGAATGAGTCGATTACGGCATCTCGATCTGTCGAAAAATAGGATTCGGTACGTGCAACGCTTGGCTTTCGGGAAATTTGATGGTACCGGGACAAGTTTACTAAAGTTGAATCTGGCTGGAAATTTAATCGAAAATATTACTGATCCTGGTGCTTTTCTCTACATGAGTTCACTAGCATATCTCGATTTATCACACAACCGCATCAGCTACCTTAATGATAACGCCTTTGAACGACTCGAAGGTCTCGAATCCCTCCTTCTACAGGTTAGTAGAAGCAGTTTCTTTTTAAAGACATTTCTCATTACTTATTAAACACTTTACTTATATTAAGCATAACTTGATAAGATATTTTTTTTATATTATAAAGCATATATCCTCATTTGAGGATATGTTTCATTTCAGAGCAACCGACTCAGTCATTTTCCTATTACTGCCCTTGGTAATATGAAACGGCTCCACTATCTTCTTTTGGATGATAATCCGATAAGAGTTCTACCTGATTATGGCCTCAACGGTCTCTCACATATACAACGGCTGTCCTTCACCCGTACAAAACTTCAGCATATCACAGATCGCACATTCGCCGGTCATTCTGTACCACATTTACGTTCCCTGAATTTGGCTTTCGGCCATATTGACTATATTTCCACTGCAGCATTCAACGGGATGGACAGTTTGGAGCAGCTAGCACTTAACAACAATAAGCTAACAAGTATTCAAACACTAGTAAGTTTCTGAATCATCCAATAAATGGGAACTGTTGTTGAATACCTTTACAAATCGCTGTAAAATAAGCCAAGAGAAGTTGGAATACTAGACATGTAGAACTACAGATATTTGTCAACTATTTGGGTAAAATTTAAAAAAAAATCAATTTTTCCTGTAAAATTCTATTTCGATCAAAATAAAAAAAAAAATCATGCAGACATTTTCGTCGCTCCGTAATCTACGCCAGCTCAGTTTGGCAGGAAATACAATCAACATGACAACAGAACGCTCGATGAATGATATACCAACGTTAGAGATTTTATCGTTGGCTCGGAACCGTCTGCAACAACTAAGCAAAGCAACATTTGTAAATTTAAATAATCTGGAGCAACTCGATTTAAGCTATAATCAACTTCGAACATTTGACTTTACATTCTTGGCCCAAAGTCTGGTGAATGTCAAACACCTTGACCTATCACATAATCGTATCATTACGTGAGTTGTTTTCAATTAATATAATGCAACTGATTTGAAGTTAAATTATGGAAAAAAAAAACATCAATGATTGCGGCAGTCAATCTACTTATTAAGAAATTCAATCTGACAGCGAAGAATAGATTGTCCAGAAGCACTAAAAGATCCAAAAACAGTATGTTCCCCCCACCGACTATTTCTATACCGAAATTATATTTCTTTCTGTTGCATAATAATTCGAAATCTGAGCCAGTTTCAACAACTTTCTGATCCCGTGCCAAATAAATTTAGAATTACTTGCAGGATTAACTTACATCCAGCAAAACGAACTTTGATGCACCTGAATCTAGCGCATAATCAATTACAATCGATCGGAAAAAATATGCTATATGATTTTGGTCAGCTAAAAGTTCTCAAAATAAATCATAATGAGTTGATTGAAATACAAAGCAATGCATTCGCAATGTGTACATGGCTCACCGAACTCGATTTATCATATAATCATCTCAGAATACTACACAAAGGTCTCTTTACAAAGCAGGTATATTAAGTGGCTCACACTTGTTCTAGGAAATTTGAATTTCAGTTATATGAAAATACCGAAGTATTTTTGGATTCTTCAGCGGACCGAATCATGATAATACCGTTCACTTAAAATAATTTAAATGATGCAATCTTTAACGAACATGTTTACAGAATATTTATGACAGTCTTGTATTGCGAAATAATGCCATCATCAGCTTGGATATGGATACATTTGGAGCCAATAATGTCCGCAAGCTTGACCTCGCTTATAATGAACTTAAGAAAATACCCCAACACGCACTCAGTTCCATCCAAAACAGCCTCACTAACCTCAATCTAAGAGTGCTTTTAATCGAATTTAAATTTTTTAATTACTTTTATCAAACTATTAGGAACTATTTGCTCACCACTCTCTTCTACAGTTACAGAATTTCACGCTAAAATTTTTTTACTACAAGATATGTTTCAACATTTGATTTATTTCAAGATGTCAGTGGTGAATATGGTATAAATTATAACGGTACAGATCAAACTACTTAGCATTATAACTATCAAAATGGCATAAATTATTTTTAATAATGATTAAGTGACACCTTTTGAGCAATACGGTTTTGCATAATTAAGGGAAATCGAATCCGATCGATAACCATAGACGATTTCGATGGTATGGAGAATCTAGAGGAATTAATTTTGGCTGACAACCATATCGAAATAATTGAGGAAGCAGCATTTTCAAAGATACAAAAGCTGATAAAACTGGATGTTAGTCATAATCCCATTACGTCATGGAATCCACATGCACTTCGAGTAACGTTTTTCAATGATTATTTCAATATTAAATTCAAAATCTAGCGTTGAAATTTATCTGAATTGATGCATTGAAGAAGTACAACGAAAATTTGAAATATTCTTCTACGGAAATGTATAACCCTAAAAGCTTTCCAGGACTTGAGTAACACTATCGAAACACTTGATCTAGCAAATACAGGTTTATTTTCATTACCAAAAATTGATAACCACGGACTTCGAGTTCTGAACATCAGCAAGTAAGCAAGAGTCCAACACTTTTGTAATAAAAGTAAATATTCAACTGCGTGAAGTCTTTTGAACAATCTGTTCAATTCACTTCGACGTATTGCTCACTGTCTACTTAACCCTTAATTCAATATTTATTAAACTTCTTAGTTATTTACTGTTTCTTTACTGCGATTCCGTTAAGTTGTTATGTCTAAATGTTTGATTATTCGAAAAATATTTAAATTTGCTACACGATTTTAGCACCTGCAATTCTAGCAACTATACTTCCATTTTAATATATTTCAATCTTAAAAAAAAACCTCATTATAGCAATAAAATTCACGAAGTGAACGTGGCACAACTGATTAACAACAGAAAATTGACAACATTCGATATCTCTTATAATAATTTTAAAGAACTTGATCCGAACATGTTTGCGGAACTTGTTGAATTGAAACATCTGAATATTACTGGGAATCCAGTCATCAGAGTCACGGATGAACACCTTCGAAATCTATATAATGTAAACATCTCTAGAACTATTTATTTCTTACAAAATTGAGCAAAAAGTTTTCTTACCTTTCCACTATCACTAAGTAATTGTTTCAAATGCGAAGGCAGCGAAGTGATTTATCTTAATATTTCAGCTTGAAACGCTCAGATTATGCGATATGGAAAAGCTACTTCGTCTACCGGAACCATATTCGTTTCGCAATTTACGTCATCTTCGCAGTCTTTATGTAATTACGTTAACATATTCATATCATTTAATGCACTTACTACATTTATCTACAACTTGTAGTTATTTCTATAAATAACATTTCTTTTCAATAAACAAAACTCATCTCAATTTTCAGATTTACAACTTTCCTGGTGTACAGGCTTACAACATATCAGATATTCTCAAGTATCTACCTCCATTACGCACTCTGGCAATAGAAATCAGGGAAACACACTTGACAACGCAACTGAACAGTGCTGATCTTAGATTATTAAGAAAAATTGTAATCACCGGGAAACAGTTATTTAAAGTATGTCACTGAAAATTCTGCAAGCATTTTTACTGGCTGAAATTTTTATGATCTGAACTAACCCAGTGTTTCACAAATCTGGAACTTCTTGACATCGAAATTCGACAAGGATTAATTTCCTAAAGTTACAAGTGATACGTGTTATTCTCAGGCTTAGTATAAAAATTGATCGAAGTAAAGAAGGCTGTTTTTAACTCCAACTAATATTTTTTAATCAAAATTTAAAATTTTAGCTAAATGAATATTCTTCAGATCGATACGGGTGCATTTGCGCAGTTACGTGGTTATAAAGTAGACTTAACGGTACGTAATACCGAAATCGAAGTATTTCCATCATCAGTATTCAACACCCTAACTGCCATTAGTTTTCTGTCTCTTTCACTACAGAACAATCATTTACAAACCTTCGGACCATTTCCACATACCAAACCACCAGTGCTCAATCAACACGGCACTATATTGTATAATCTACAACTAACGGTAGGTATTCAAGAAATCATCATCATATATTATTCCTCCTATTGACTGCTTCCATCAAAAAAGTCAATTTAAATTTGACAAAAAATGATACAGTTCTACTAAGTCTCATTTCTACCAAACCTCGATAACTTTCGAGATATGAAGAGTTTATGAGACATATCACTATAACGGAAAAGGAAAGGAAAAGCGACTCAACAAAGGAAATAATAATAAAAAAAATAGCAGGAGATGGTAGTCATTCCGATGAATAAGGTTATTTTCGAACAAAACTCTTATTATCATATAAAAAAAGCTGTAAAACGCAAAAAAAAGACTGTAGAGCTGGAGGTCATAGCATTTTACAAATTTATTAAATGAATTCTCCAATCTTTTTGAAAGCAAAATGAAGTGCAATTGTAACTAATTTCAGGGTAACCCAATTACATGCGACTGTAGGCTAAATTGGATCGGTGAGTGGATTGAATATTATCAAAGTGTTAACGCAGCCTACGAACAACCTCTCGATGACACCTACTGCGCTGACCAGGCTGGTGGTGGTACAACGCTTCATAATGCCTACACGTCAACAAATCATATAGTGTGCACAGCGAACAATGTCATCAGCAGTTGTAATTCAATTCGTACTTTCTCTAATCTTTTACTTCCACTTTTGTTGACAATTTTGGATTATATTATTTATCGAAAATTTTAACATAAAATCTCAACTGTTTCAATTTCGTAAAATAAAAAGCCAAGGCTGGTATACTGCCAGTGAAAAAGGGAAATAATCATTTTTACTACCAAACAGTTGTTATTAACCTTACTTCCAAATGTATTAGTGCATATGTTATGTTAGTCTCTTTTCTATCATTCATGCATCAAAAATAGCTATATTTTATGAAAGTAAAGACAAACCCTTTGATAATTTGTAACGGAATCATTGAAGAAGCATCAAAAGTTGAAACTGTTCGCTTGCAAAATATTTCCAGCGATTGTTCTTCACCTACAAGTTCAGAACTGATGTTTACCTGCTTATGTTTAAATTGAATAATTGCAAGTTCTTATGTAATACATCACCAACCAATAACTTTCAGCAAAGGTGCAAAGAGCAGCTTCAAAAAGAAATCCAATTCATCTGAAGCGCATCCAGCAAGAAATCGAAATATAGCTGCATGTCGCCCCATCATATCTTTCTTACAGTGTGTGTTACATTTCCCGTACAAAAGCCTGGAAAAGTAAAATTTTGGAACAAAGCTGACACCGCTCGTAGAACTCAGCTTTTAAGACAAACAAAAATATAAATGGGACAAAAAATGAAACGTTTGAATACTAAATTTGGGGGAAAAATATTGTATAAAACACTGACCTCAATACAATCCGCATAACGCTAGCACGGTGATTGCTATCAATCATGGAATTATAGTCATCAATCGAAAACCTTATCAAGCTACTGATTAAGGTTCGTTCCTGCACCAAACTTTCTAGATATTCTCTGTAATAATAAATTTTCATCAAAAAACAAAACAACACAATGTAAATATTGTTTTTCGAATTCCTCAGAATCTTTTAAAACCGATCTTAAATCGGCTACTAAATATTCCAACACCCTAATGTATCTAATTTTAAGCTTTGAAATATTATTAATAAGATCGAAGAGAAAACCTGTAAGGTGTGAGGTAATTGTAATTATAGGTAAAAATGCATTTCAATGCTCGCTGTTGCACTGCTTCATCACCAACCATCAAAAGCTAAAGAAAATACGATTATTGCAAAACCATGCAGATACACTCGATGTTAGTCACAAGAAATACTTCTTACTTCGTCGTATAAATCTCGAATTTCATTGGCCATGTAAATAGTTTTTGGTGAAGTAAAGCTTGAGAACAATTCCAAAAGAGTAATTAGGCTATTCCTAATCAGTTTTCGTCCAATGCACATGTCGTCTTTTGTCCTTTTGCCGTCATCTTTTGATTTTTCAGTGCCGAATCTGTGAGGATATCAGTCATTTATGTTATATCGACATAAAGCACGAAAAGAAATGACCCATACCCTTTTTGCTCAAATTAGTTCTATAAACTAACAGTTGTGAATTGCCGTTAGCATCAAGTTTCCCTCCATCCTTATCTACAGAACAAGAAAGACCAGATGACGCCACTAATAAAACGCTTCCTCGTTTCTCCAACAGATTCTCTTGTTGATATTCATTTCTGCAATCCGAAAGAACTCAAAAAATTAATGTGCTCGAATTGCACAATATAATTCATCTGACAATGTCTCCTGTAATGGACATGCTCTCTCTTCAAATTGTTTACCCTAGCAGTGTTTCTGTAATTCCACATTGTCAGAACCTTTAAAAAAAGTTTCGTGAAACTCGCTTTTTTTGTGGCACTATTCCACACTACTATATTTTATTTATTACTTATGTTAAAGAAATGCATCAATGCTAAAGAAAAAAATTTTGATCTGTCAAAAAACAATAAGCTCAAGTTGGAATAAGCTGAGAAAAATATTTGTTTTCTATTAAATTTGTATTAAAGATTGTAAAAATTATATTTACCTAAAAAAATGGATGAAAAGAGGACTTATCAGTTCAGTTCGGCGCTCACACAAATCACTAATGCGACTAAGAATCCAAAACATTTCCAATCGAAAAGCTCCGTAATTCCGCGGACTTTTGTCAGCGAAAATTGTCATTTTGTCAAGCATATCACAGTCTGAACTGCCACTACTTTCGGATATAACTGCAATAAAAAACATATAATCAAACTTATTTTTAATCACTGAAATTCAAAATAGAAAGACTCCAATCAATACAAGAGGATGCTATAATACAAGAACACAATCACCTATCACTGGAACACATAATACTACTCAAGCCCAAACACATATCATATCAAAATGAATAAATTATTGATATTTACAAAACACAAACCATACTGACTCCTTAACCCCATTTGGTCGACAAAAGGCAAAAACAGTGAGAAGAATGTATCAATATTTAATCCATAAGCATAATCTTGAATAATATTTTTTAGCTCGTTCCACGCAATCGTGAACGGTTCATAAAGATTCCCAATAATAACACGCAAAGGAATCTAAACAATGTACATCTTTTATCGAAATACATTATTTGATAATAGTTTTATCTCTTATCATTGAGAATATACTGACAATTTCAGTCAATTTTTAAAAAAAACAATTTTTTTTAATCTTAAAAAAAAGATTATTTAGCGCCTAAGTGAATGAAAATAACTTACTGTTTCAATTATTACATCAAAACCCTGCGGCATATGTTTTGTATGCGCGCCGTAAGTGAGTTGACGTAGAATCATCAAACGCTTTCTGTACTCTTCTAAAGTCCATGGTATTCTTTCAGATCGCAGGAGAAGATTAAAAACACTTTCTACTTCAACCTGAAAAATTCCTTTCAAAAGCAAAACTGCAAATTTCTTAAGATCTGAATTGAAAAAAAACAATTTTATGAGATGATCATTTCTACTTCCAAAATTTAAATCAAACTAAAATTTTAGACTAATTAAAATTAATCTATCTACTAGAGAAAAGAGTTCGAAATGAACTTACAACTGTTTCATTGTTGTCATCTGTATTGTTCACTGGAATATTAAAATGAACCAAAACTTCTAAAGCGATTTGCCGTACATAACTGCTCCAGTGACTAAACATTGGCAAAATTTCATTCGCAATCTAAAGAAAAGAATAATTTCAATGATTACGAAACCCAAAAAATTAACTGCTCCAGTAGCCAAACATTAGCATAATGCTTAAAGACATCAAAAAAGATGTACAGAAAAAATCATTACCAATTAAGACCAATGGTATATTTTCTTTAAATGACAGAACTCATGTTTATGATAGCGTATATCTTACGATATGTACATAAACTTGCAATTTTCTTAATCTAGCATTACGATTGTTTCTGTTCATAAAGTATTTAACAAAGCGCTCAAATCTGCGCTTATATAATCCAACTTTCTCCAGCGAACTTACAAAATCAATCGTCAATAAGAGTACATAAAACTTTTTTTAGTTTAATAAAAACATTTCTCCAATCAGAAAAATTTCTGAAAACGAAGAACGGTGAACAAATTTGTTTATAAATTATCGAGCACTGAAATGAATAGTAAATAAAATTACTGTGATTACTTTTATAATTAATTAAAATTAAAAAATGAATACACAACTAATTTCTATATTTATTATCTGCCGCTGATCCACAAAGTTAAAAACAAAACTCTGTAACCTTGCTCATAGTAGAAACATTCTTAAATTTCTCGAAATCTTTGACAAACGGCAACATTAAAGCCAAAGTGCGAAGAGCTGCTTCGTTATTTCCCATTTTTTTGTAATGCTTCAGCACAGCATCAAGAGTGAACTGTTTGAACAAACTAGGATCACACAAAAGACATGCATTTGCAGCAAGAAGTGATAAACGAGCATCAACGCTGTCTAAGCTGTTCATTGAAGTTACTAAAATTCTGAATACAGCAATAATTTCTGAAACAGAAATACATTAGAGTTATTAATTGACGAGTAAATCCTCTCTTGTCTCCTTTTTCCCCTAAAATAATTTAAATCTACTATTTGTGAAAAAAAGTGAAGCGAAAGAGATGTAAAGATGATGATATCATGTCTATTAACTCCATCTCACGACAAATTTTTCAGTCTTACCTTTTGGTTTTTCGAACTGATTCCATAACCAAGGATAAGTCATCAAACAACACCCTACAATTTCTACGTCGAATTTATCTGCCGATTTTAGAATATCAATGAGTCGATTGCGTACTTCCAAATGATTGCATATATCAAAGAAACAATTTCGCTCTTCTGAAGAATAATTTAATATTACACATGCAATAGTTTCATCCCTGTTGATTCCTTTATTGCAAATCTCTTTATTACCTTTATATTTCCAAATCGGTCTTCGTTTAATGCATAAATCCGCATAAAATCTAAAAATTTTGCTTGTGATCTGAGCGTCCCCCTGTGTAATGAGCCGTGACATAAATGTACCAACAATAGGCATTATCCAAATATCAAACAAAGGAATATCAGAGATCTCGTAAAGGAAATCTAATATCACATCAAAACCATATCTGAAAATGTTATTTGAAATGCAAAAGCATCTCAAATATAGAAATGGTAATAATTTTGCAAAAAATTCTGGACAAAAAAGCAAAATTTCGCTAGCTCAAACATGTAAAAAAACACCAAAACAAACCTTTGGTCGTCATTCATAAGTATACGCACCGCTGTGGTAATCAAAACATGTAATTCACTATCATTGTGATACCTAAAAGGTGTCTCTTCCAGAATTTAACTTCTTGCAAAATGATTTGATTTGTGAAATGGAATTTTGAGAATTGGAATACTATAATAAACTGGCATTATAGTCACTATGAATGGTTTTTTGGTAATGCTAAAAATATGCTAATTTAGTACGAGAATTCGTTTTAGAAAAAAGTTAATATAGAGATAATTAATAAAATCGCAGAAATGCCTAAAATTTGGCTGAACAACAACATCAAAATTAAAAAGCATGATTTTAGCCTTTCATTGCAATAATTTCGGAAAAATTAAGAAAACTCCATAACCTCATGATTGCACTGGTAAGTAATCCAATAGTCTCTCTATCCATTAGTCCAGTTCTACTTTTCGCACCATCTATTATAGCTTGAAATAAAGATGATGGCTTATACAGTGACTTCCCCATTTTCTGGCTTATCCAAGCATTTAAAAGCTTGGCCAGTGCTGAACTTTTCACTATGTCCAGTGATACCATAGCTGATTTGTATTGCTCCTAAAAAGCTTTTTATATTCTTAGGAACTCGAAATATTTGTAAAAAAAACAGAAATTCAGCTTCAAGGCAAAAGGCAGGGTCACAAAAAACATTGATCATCCTTGTTACTATTCTCCTCCTTTTATCATAAAAAGCTCTCTTTTTTATTTTTTATGAGACGATATATTAAAAAGTAATAGAAATTTTTAACCAATCAAAACCTGAAAATTTAACAAGCTCTTCTAAGATCATAAGGGATTACCAAAATAACATCCACAATACATGCACTATATTCCTCCGATGTGTAGGTGCTACACTGACATATCGTGCCTACCAAAATCCGGATCGCAGTATTTCGAACATCGTTTTCCTCAATTTCGATTGATGCTTGCAAAATTTCCGACAGTAACTATAAGTCAACTTACATCAATATACAGTATAAATTAAGTTGATAATCACCTATCATTATAATTTAGTCAAAATTCTAGCGTATGTTGAGTATTTTGTACACAAAAACGCACGGGAAACAAATCATGCCAGTGCAAAAACTTGCTTGGGGGGCTGTACTGTAGAACTGTCGTCTATTAATCTTCAGAACATTGAAATACAATCGAGATATGCCATCAATAAGCAACGAATTGTCGATTTCCTGCATTTTAATGATATTCAATTTTAATTATTCAAATTCCAAATGCTATCTCCTACAAGTGACAAAAAATAGAAATTTTTTACATTGTGTGCTGTTTCTGCCAAAAATATTGTAAGCTTTGCTACTGCATTCGACTTCCGCAACAAAAATGCAAGAGCTTCGGCAGTAAATCGGCGCAAATAGGATCGTTTACAGCAAAAAATTCGTTTAAAACGCCTAGAAAAATATGCAAAAGTTTAGATGTAGATCAAATACCATCTGTGTGATACCAAACTTCCAAAAGAAATAACTAACCTAAAAACTTCATGTAATTCATATACAAGATGTCGTCGTTGTAACCAAAAAATCTTAGCTAATGTAAAAAAAACAGTCTCCAGAATTTCTTCATCCTCGTGTGACCTTTCTAATATGCCTATCATAGCTTCTATAAATTCCCATATATAACTCTGAAAGTCTTCCCTTATATCCTGCACGAATGCTGTCGTTAACCTGGAATACTTTGTAATATTTGCTTCAATATAAAAAATAAAAGTGGATGATATGAAATTTTAATGAAGTTTTTCATAACGAACAGAAAAGCGGATCAAAGAATGTCTTGCCTAAAGACGAAATCCTTTCAAATTGGTAACCTACTCTAGCAACGTATTCAGTGAAGTACTTTCCGAAATATTCAAATGTTTGATTAAAGCCTTTGCTACAATATCTTTCCGATGAAGAAGCTGTGCATATGTTCGCAGTTCACCGTTGAAATATGGAATATCATTCAGGAAGCTCTCTGAAAATATATATACATTGAAAAACATGAACCAACCAAAATAAGAGCAAAAATTACATGCGAGAACATTAAAGAGACCTGCAACTTGCTTTTACGGAACTGACAAGTTATTCAAATATATTATCGAAAGATAACCCTTACCAAAATATGAGCCGTAATCCAAATCTTGGTATTTGGTAATTGCATCACTAAAATGAGTTTCATTTTCCGCCGAAGTAACAGTTGCTATTGAGAGATGCCATTGGGTTATATCTACGCTCATTTTGGCGATCTGATCCGTGAATGATACATACTGAAAGCTTAATTCACTGACAATATTATATAATATCTTTTTATCCTAGGGAAGTAGTCACACAAAATCATTTGTCAGTTAGATGTTTTCAGTCCAGATCAACAAAGTTACAGTGAAGTATTGGTTGATGGCGCTAGAAATTTGCAGGATAAACATACATTTCTTCATTACGATTTTCTAGATTAGACAATAAAACTCTGCTGTTTTCTATAGTACTGACGCCATGTGTTGATGTATTAGCAGAGGAGGAAACTCCATGGTTCTTTGAAAAAATATGAATTCCCTGACATACCTTCATATATAGAGAAGGCTAAACTACAGCTCAGAAAAAAACTTTAAGGTGAACAGTCGACTGCAGAAGGGTACAACGAGAGAAAACAAACCTTTAATCGATTGTTCGAATTCAACTTTTTCATTCTTTTTGCTCAGCCAGACAAATCACCTGTAAGAATATTTATTTATAACACAGAGAATCCCCACTACCGCTGCGATAAACGTAAACATTCGAACATCTCGAACCTCAGACGTGTTCTGCCTTAAACTCGCCTTGCCTCACAGTACCAATGGACGAGTCGTAAAGTAGAGGTGCGGAGCGACATGAAAATATTTGTTCCTTTGCGAAATATTTCATCATTGGAAGAGCTGTGTGTTCGTGGAGTCTCGCGAAGCACTCATTCTTTCAGAGATCTCTCAGTGCCTCCTCGATTAATTAGCTCTCTTCGACTCATTAAGCTATCGAACGTCGGGAACTCGTCCTCACGTCCATTTCACTTAAATCCCCATCCTTTTAATATAGGAATTATATAAATTTCGGAAGAAATGTCGCGAAGATTCAAGTTATTGACGAGGGTGCTTATTAGTAGTTGTCTGTAGAGAGTACAGTAGCTGTTATCATCCTTCAGGCTTATGTATGAAAGTCTGCTTTATATTCAGACTTGTCGGTGTAAAATGGTGGTGAATGGGACCTCGGATCTCGAAATTACTTCACATTCTTGTGCATTTTTTTCTCTTTGATGAAACAACTGATCAATTTGTAGAAGTTTGCAAAGTTTTAAAGTCTTCTGAGTAACAAAATAATTCTTTTTCTATTTTTAGTCGCGTGTAGTAGTCAAGAATTGATTGAGTCTATATAGATATTGAACTTTTAAATTATGCAAAGATTAAACATGCTAAGCACATTGTCCTACTTCTTTGATCATATTTTAATGATAATTGTGAGTGGAATGATGAATAAGTAATTGTGGGGTGCGTGTTTTGTATGTGTATGAAAGAAACCGGAAAGGTGATTACTGATGAACTGGCTTGGCCGTATAGCTAGGAAGGAAAGAATTCTAACAATATCCCATTGCTCAGAGAACTGATATTTGATTTCTGTGACTGGTTTGAACTGAAGAGCATAAAATGATGTACTCTTGGGACTAACCAGTGGAAATTTATGCATGTTAGATCAAGAGGACGGTGAGTTTCGATGTTTGGTAGTTTCCAAGCGAGCCGGCGATACGGCCCTACGACGAGCATATTGTTAGAAATTTGGCATTCCTCTGGACTTTAGATTGGTGGTAGTTGTTATCCTTCTGCAACACTATATTTAGCACCTTAAATCTGAAAAATATTCTGGTAACGAATCATAAGAAGAATTTCCAAAGCTGTGCTTAATGCTGCCGGAAAGTTATCATTATTCAGTGATGCATGCTGCCGGAAGGATGAAATAGATTGCCTTCAAATGTATTTGTGTGGAGCGGTCACAGGCACATAGCTAACACCATTCACTCTTTTCTCTTCCAGTTCCATTTGATGACTATCACCGGTGCAAAGTTGTTCATCAGAAGCCGATTAAGGCAGACTCATGTGATAGTTTCAGTGGTGACCTGCTATACATAAAGTTAGAAAACGTGGAACTGCTCCGGCTGGTGAGTCTATTGATGAATTTATGAATGCTAAACCAAACTTGAAAAAGAAGAGTCAATATATTGGAAGGTGAGTCATTCACGAACATGAGAATAAAGAGTAGTATGCTTTATTGACAGTTTTCATGAGTTAAGTCTATATGTTTCTTGAATCTCAAAATATCCCTAATGAAATTCATCTGCAAATCAATTCACACCCAAGCATACGAGCAGCGAATTCACTCGCTAGCGACAGAGAATTGATGATGGTTTCATAGACTGTTAGAATTGAATGCAGAATAATATTTTTAAGGCGTACGTCAACGCCTAAATTTCCACTCATTTTACATTGTGTCGTTTCGGATTGAGATCGAGTAATCTTGATTTGATGCGAACAATGGGTTGATGGTATCTGCAATGAGAGACAACAATAGGTTGATGGTATCTGCAATGCGAGACTACAGAATTTCCAAAAGGTAGGAAGGATTTCAGTTTAAAATCAAGTTTTAAAGTTTGTTTGCTAACAAAGTATCAATGGAATTGATTTTAATTAAAAAGAAATAAGTACTATTTGCGGCCTGAAGTTCACTTGTGGTTGAGCACTGAAATTCCACTGCAAAGCGTCCATCGGGTTAGGCCATGTGAAACAATGCCAAATTATTGACAGAGCGAAAAATACCATCATCACCTGGAATATTCAACCAGAATGATTGCACGAGAAAAGTTATTAAACATTGCTTCTGCTAAGAGTAACGAAAATATTGGCAAGAGGTCAACTTTGATCCTGGCCCTGACAAAATTTTGTCTCATTCTGAGAAGTCAATATGCTCTTTCTTTTCTCCTTCCAAATTTGGAATACAACGCAAATTCGAAAGGAAAATGTGAAAATGGATAAGTCAAATAATCTAGATCTCGCCACGAACTTTATATAGAGGAAAGCGTGGCAGACGTATTTCTCCATCCGAGTAAATGGTAGTTTTCAATCCTTTAGTGAGGAATGAGCGCAGAGGATGGGTGATAGCATGTAGAAGTTTGAGATGAAATATTCCCATCGCTATGATCATCCATAAGTAGCTTCCGATTCTCCATTTGAAAAGCGAACTCTGAATCTTCATCTTTAGTCCTCAGGCATGCATACTATCTCAGCATCACTACTGTTCGACACAGTTATGGATGCACTTCTTCAAACATTATTGCTATTGCTAATCTTATTTCATTATTATCGATAGCATCGAGGATTTACAAATACTTTTGAAGATGTAAAAAGTACAGAATACCAGTAAAATTCGCTTCCGTTCTAAGATATCGTCTATAACAACACCGCGATACTGTACAAAGATTCGATGCGCAGCTTTTATCCGACCAACCTCCTCCTCCGACATCACTCTTCAGAAATAAACTTCCTGGAGCATTGTTGAATTATACATTTACTAGTTTAATTTTTCGAAAATAATCAAAACTAATGAACAGATTAACTTAAATACTCCATTAATGTAACAAAGAAGCAAAAGATAAATCAATAAAAAAATATTAATTGCTGATTTGAATCAGAAGATGGTGCACCTGAGTAACATTAAATGAAATATTTTAAGCATTATGATACCACTACAACAGTGCAGTTTTCGGGACAAGATAGTCTAAGTCCTCTCTTCGAAAATTATCGGAACTCACATAATTCAATGAACTACTTTTGGAGGGCTGTGCTTTCTAAGACTCCTTTCCAACATTGTATGGCGAAGGCTAACCTATGAAGGGTTCTGGCCCAAGGAAATCTCTGCGCTAAATGGGCTGTGCAGCTCTGACTTGGCTCACTGCACAAAAATCGATGCATTGCACAATAAAACACAGAACAATATATATATACGTACGTTACTTTGATTCTATTTTCTGACATGCTAGGTTTGATTTTGATTTACTGTTATAATAGAAACGTAATTTCTTGGGTATCCATCAGTCAGGTAGTGTCACTCCCAATTTGATCAGCTACTTAACAATCACTCGGTTGCTTTAACTTTTGAACTTTGGTGTGGCGATGGATTAATGATCTTTATGACCAGGGAAAGAATACACAGAGCGTAGAGCGGAGAATATCTCCTATTGGTATTCTTCTCTTATTTTTTTCTGTGCCATTTCAAACTGCGACGTGTGCGCTCTGCAAGGCTGCACGAATTATGGGCCCATTTCATCAAGTAAAAACGGATGCCACTCACCAGAACTATTTCAGTCACATAATATATTGCATCACTCTGCCGCATCTTGTGTAGCTTTCGTGATTTCTCGATGTCTGGTGGGAAACCTATTCTACTCAAACAGTGATAAGTAATGATTATGTTGCCAATGACTTGAACTGATAAGTCTTATTTCGATATAATGCCTTGCTGAATTATTTTATTTCGCCACTATCCACTTTTTTACTGGTTCATATTTCCAAGGGAATAGGAATCGGCTTGAAACCCATAAAAGTAATCATGTTTTTAAACTAATACCAAAGTATATTGATAATGCAAAATGAAGTAGAACAAACTTTTATTTCCTTTTGAAAGAAGCATGAAATCTTCAGGATAGTCACAAAAACATTGACTTCTTCCTTACTTCGTGGGAAATGCTTCCTTTTTCTCCATGTAATTTCAGATGAATTTGCATGAATTCGCTGGAAATTTAGGAAGATATTCATGACCATATAATCAAAGAAAGCTCAAAAGTATGTGTTGTTTTTCCACTTCAAAATAGCAGAGGAAAGCTAAAGAGCAGTAGGATTCAGATGATCCTCTACTTTCACTACTACTGCGCCATTATCAGATCCCTTCAAAATCTAACTGTCCTATGTTCCCTTTTAGATTCTATGAGACAAGCAATGAGCAGAATTTTTTTTAATAATGCTCATCGTATATTTTGGATCTTTCTGCAATGTAGCATTCCTACGAGAATTTTATTGAGATAATATAATTTACTGATTTGGCACTTATGTTTATTTGAATGATATAAACAATTTTCGCTATGATCTATTAATTCTATTCAAATAATGAGTCGGTCGTTTGCTGAGGGAGAAAAACAAATCAACGGCTCTAGATGAATAAATTTTAGCTTGGGAAGTTGCATTGTTCCTTGTGCAATTGATTTATGATATCATTTAATTACTACTTAAATTTGCTAACAAATAAATAGATTGAGGAGTTATGCGACTAATTTCTGCTAACGAAATGACATCATAAATCAATTGAACAAGGAACAATGGAACTTCCCAAGCTTCCATCGCTTACCTGAAAACCTGTCACTATTTCGGAAAACACAGCTTTCTAACCCAGTTCTCACGCACGACCACTTCCTTGTCGATTCCCTCTTACGGATCTCTTTCATTTACAACGTTGCGATGAAGCCTCACAACACCGTCTGTCATGCATGTCACACACAGAAATTTGAATCTTAGGATGTCTCGTTGTACAAAAAGCCTCATCTCATCATGGCACTGAAATGCATCCGCAACACGTCCGTTTCTGTCGTTCAGCAATTGGTACAAAGCTTTTCAATTTTTCTCCAATTTTTTGAAATCAAGTGATGCTTGCTCTGAGGAAAATCATTCACCTAAAAACTAACTTCAGGTAAATGGAAGGGAGTGAAAATGTCTGCAAACCGACGAACATCGTTCCGTTTATTTCCTAACAAGCTAGGCCGGGCCAATAACATTCATTTTGCTCATGCAAAAATTGATACCTAAAACCGGTTGTGTGATGCTGAATGGCCTTTACGCTTTGTCCGGTTTCTGCTGTGCTCACGGTTTCCTCTCCTAATACTTCACTCTTCATAATGAATAGTCGAGGTCATCACACCCGAACTAGGTGGCAAGTTGAACCGAGCCAACGGAAGAATTTGTTTTCTCGCTCTACCTCGGGGCATTCTTCATCCTTATCCTTTTCCAGTCCGTCCTGCAGTTTGCGTGTATTTCTTACTGAACTGTTTTTGTCAGCTTGACATTATTCTTTTTCAGGGTTTGAAGGAAGGAGATGCAGGTGGAGGAGAAAAAAGAGAAGACAGTTAGTGGTACCGTAACATGTCCTTATTCGGAAGGTCATCCTCACGTGATCCCTGTTTGCGATGTGTTATTACATTTGGCTAAATGTCGTCGTTTATACTACAAGCGGTACGGTGTTAAGGCGGAATTGAAGAGGTAAAGTGATGTTTGGGAGGAATGGTGCCTTTGGGTTAGTCACAATGTTTCAGATGCAAATACAATGGTTGTCATTATGTTCTTGCACCGGAAGTGATGCTGCACGAACTGACATGCTGTAGCAAAGTGTTCTATCAGGAATGCAAGCGGAAGATGCGATATCCACCTGTGCCCCTTCAAACCGTCACTCCTTCAAATGAAGGTTCGGATACTGTTGACCTGATGATTTTTGATTAATGACATTGTCAGACACTCCTCATCTTCAGCTCGTTTTCTAAGAGCTTATACTTGGATTATTGATTAAACCTATTGTTGCTTTATTGTGGAATAATAATAGTTCGATGTTATCAGCAGTGATTTCTATAAACCTTTTCTAATCCTTCTTGTTTCCACTTTGTAAATGGCAATGATATGGTTGATTCGTTGGAAGAGTTGTCAGTGATTAAGCCGTGAAAAGCAGCGACCTTCCTTTCGATTCCTGCTGGTTTGAGGAGAGAAGATGAAAGTAAAGAGATATGATGAGTTAGGTTTGTTATGAAGAAAATACGGAAATACAGAGAAGAGGGGAAGGACGGGAGTGGGAGTGGAATCAGAAGCTTTGCTGTTTGCAACTACGAGCATTATTTCTGATCTATTGAAGTCAGCGAGAACTAGTAAGCGAACAATAGTCGGTCGACAGTTGGAAGCTTGACCTTTTCAGAATCGTTATCATGGCAGACCTTTGCAACCAATGACCACTGTGTCGTATGAGGTGTGGTGTGATAATTGGTGACTGATATGATAGGAGGTGACCCCTACTTGCCGAAGTAGTGCAAACTGACAACGGGCTATACTCTTCATTGGTGAGATGAGTGCATGCGCGACATTTCTTTCCCAACCCGTACCTTCCCATCTGATCTGAAACTTCACACACACACACACACACACACACACATACACACACACAGACCGCACAGCAGGGAGAGACAGACAGTATAGTGGATGTTCGCAGAACTGCTGGGAAATGTGGTGGTGTGGAGGATGAGTGCACGTGAACAAAGGGATGACACGCGCGTGTGATGCGTGTGTGGTCTATCCGTGAATTGTTGTGGCACTCATACAATTCCCCATGCCGTGTTTTATTTCACTATTTCAGTTTTGCGTGTTCATCCATCCCTGAAAGCGTTTCTAAATCAGAGTCGTTTGGAATTGTGGGATTTTTCCAACGTTTAGTTGCATGGGCCAAATAAATCAGTTGTGCACACCTTTACTCTTTGTTTAATTCAGTGATGGACGTACATCATTCAGTGATGATTGAACAATAAGCATACAGTACTTGTTGATTTAGTTGTGGCAGAGAAACTTTCTTCCCTTTCTTAGGTGTTTCTCTCAAAAAATTTGCTTTTATGAACTATACAATAGGTATTTCAGGGTGCTCTCAACACAGTCTCGAACGACTGAATCCGTAATGGATTAATAGGCCCGTTGTGAATTACTGTCTATCTTGCTTATAAATCATTACCGAGAACTTTTTCGTGTTAATTTCTTCCAGAATCGGTGTCTTTTTCAGTGAATTATTACAGGAAATAAATTTTGAATTTCAGAATATAGCCATGCAAGAGTTGCATCGTTGCTGGTAGTGCCACTGCTTTGCTTAACTTATACAATCGTATTTATTCGCTTTTAGTAGGGTGATTGTGGTTGAGCCAAAGAAATGACAATGATTATGGATATCAACGGTAGTGATCCGCTTCAGACAAACAGTGCAACGAGCAATTTGTAAGTATCTTCTAGAATTGCAACGTATGTTTGGCTTTTTCTGGGATTTTTCATTGTTCAACTTCAAACTTCATCTGAAAGATCTCAATTCCTTACTATCTCCAGTAAAGCAAAATTTGTATAGTCTAGGCTTCTGTTCCTCTCTTAAGCAGCCTTTCGTCATTTGAGATGACTATCTTTCGTCCAATACATCCGTACTCCTCTCCCTATTTAGCAATCATTGATACTTATGTATTTTTTAGTTCTCCATCGAAAACGTTATTTCACGGTTATGAGGCAAGCACATCTAACAACTCGCATGAAACCAGTGATGATATCTATGTCGCGAGTACTCGGTAGTTTTTCTTGCATGCACCGCTGTTTCGCACGCTTACCATTAGATGATATGGGAATTATCCTGTGTCATTTTATTTTTCATCCTCTAAGAAATGTTAAGTTTTGCTATTTTCCTTGCCTATTTTTAAGTCTTACAGATGTGTTGGAGGGATTTCACAAGCATCATGCAGCTCGATATGTTCCGAAAAATTTGAAGCAAAGCAAAAAGTATGTTCGATTTGTTATTGTTGCACTGATAAAATAAATCGAGTTCTTTCATCATCCCGAGAAATAAGCACAATCTAGCTAATGCTTTGGGAATTTCATTCTTGAGTTTGGTTTATTCCGATTTCAGGATTGCGGATTATACTGGAGTCATAACATTGCTGATCAAAGTACTTATAAACATTCTCGCTTGGCACCTGGACGTACCTCTTGTGTGTTCTTGGAGATGGCTTTGAAACGATTATATGCTCGAGACGATTTCGATGTGTTGGAAAGCTTGGGCGAAGGTTTCTTTGGTGATGTATATAAGGTCCGGTTTTAATGAAACATGAGAAAAACAAATGCAGCTTAATCAAACATTTTTGTCACAAAATGAGACCTTTGATACATCAAGTTTATATAGAATTCGCAAAGAGTCATGGGATAATAATGAAAGACAAAAGTTTAGTTTTCTAAACACTTTAAGAGATTTTTCTAGGTACAGCATCGATTTACTGGCGAGATTATGGTGTTGAAGGTCGGCAAGGAACGAGAACGAGAAAATCGGGTACGGATTAAGGCAAATGTGCTGAAAGAAGTTGATGTGTTAAATCAGTTGACGTCACATCCCAATCTGTTGGCTTTTCGGTAATACATCCTTTTTTATCGCTTCAATTCAAATATGCTGTGATTTAAAGGGAAGTTGTTCATCAGTGATGGTGACTAAACCTATTCTATTAGTAAGTGACGTATTTTTTAGTGGTGTTTGTGTTGATCTGTCAGAGAAGTCGTGGAATTTACATATACTTATGGATTTCTGTGATGCGGGTAGTTTAAGTCGCCTCATATGTGACCATCAAAAATATTTCGGATGGAGTTTGCGATGCAGTTTAGCCGGTGATATTGCATACGCCATGGATTTCGTACATTCGAAGGGCATCATGCATCGCGATCTCACTAGCATGGTTCGTATAGCTATTTTAGTAATTAGGGTAAAATTTTGAATTTGAGATTAAAAATTAGTGGCAAAAGTTTTGAAATGTTTAAAAATAAGTCGGAGGAAGGGATTGAGGAATGGCTGAACTAATCTTTGACCCGTATTTTTATAGAATGTTTTACTGCAAAAAGTTGCAAATGGTAGTTTAAAAGCAGTGGTAGCTGATTTCGGCTTATCGTGCAGAATCCCACGAATTGTTGAGAAGCTGACTCAAGTGGGTACCCCGTTCTGGATGGCTCCAGAATGCCTTAAGGAAGAGTTTTATGATGAAAAGGTTTATTTTGTGTTTGCAAGTTAAGAGAAGTGTTCATTTTTTTTTATTGTAAATGTTATTATGTGGATTTTTGGATGAGAGGAAGTTAATTTTAAGGATTATTTAGGCCGATGTTTTCTCCTTTGGAATAATACTATGCCAGATGATAGCAAGAATTGATGCCGATCCTGAAGCAGGACTGTACCGAACTCACAATTTTGGCTTAGATTATATTCGCTTCATAGCCCATTGTCCAACTGACACTCCTCTGGATATTTTGAATCTAGCATTTCAGTGCTGTTTGGTAAGGTATTAAGTTCAAGATTTGCTTTGTTGACCACATTGTATTGCTGTTCACGATGTGCTGTTGTTTATTTTCATTTTTACATTCGTAATGATTCATTAATGTCCATTGCAGATGGATCCAACTGCTCGGCCAAATTTTATGTCTGTTTGCGATTTCTTTTCTAACTTTCGATTTTCACCGCATAAGGATTATAGTGAATCTCCATCGCGGCTAGCTGAAAATGATGGACGTTAGTGTTTACAGGATTTTAGCGTATAAATTCGTCCCTAGCGCTCAAAATCATACTGTTTCTCACCATGTTGTTAATAGTTATCGTAGTTTATTTTGTTACATTCAGCAGATCTCTCTTGTAGGGTTGGAACGCTCTTTGTCGGATGCAACTTTAAAATATTGGAAATCGAAACAGTCAGAGTTGTTCCCACATATTTTAACCGTAAAGGAGCAAAATAGTGAAAATCAACGGTAATTTAATTATTTTGCTTGCAAAGTTGAAGCAATTATACGCATCCTCTTCATGCAGTTCGAGATTATTTGCAATTTTCAGTAGTAACTCTCACTCATTATCACAGTATTTTACAGATTATTATCTGGTAAAGTTTATATACATTTTTTCATCACTTGTTTCATGTATTTATAGTGAATGCAAGTCAATGAATACAGTTCCTCTTCTGGTTCTTCATGAAGGTGTATCGTATGAAGATCTAAATCACACAAACAAGGATGAGGAGATGAGAAACAAGTCGCGAATGGAAGAGCTTGCGAGAAGTGTCGCCGTGGATGAATTTTCTGATGAGGTATTTCTCCTGCTTCCTTGAAAAGTTACTCAAGTACCAGTTTTTTCTACGTGTAATCATAAAAAAAGGCAAAAAAGATGTGATGGTTTAAAAGTGATAAAACTTAAGATTTTTATTCTTAATTTTATATTTTGTCTTTGGCTAGTTTTTTTCTTCGCTTCGTTTCTTACGTTAAACAACTTTTCAGCCTAAACTTCATTTAATATATTTATGAGTTCTAATGAGATAAAGTCGGAAGAATTTTGTCTTTTTCAGATGGCTTTGGACACCGGAAATCCATTTATTGCTCATAAAATTTACAAAACGACTCGTAAGTTAGCTTTCCCTGACACGAACGATCGAAAATGTATTGTTTCGGATGTGAGGGAATCGGATGACATCAATGTAAATACGACTAGTTATGACAGCAATTTAACGAATTATAAGTATGTTGACATTGATTATATATCATCCCGTTCATATAGAGAAAAGATTGCAAGAGACATTTCTAAACTTCTTGTTCAAATGCTTATGAAAAAAGAGTGAAAATTATTCTGCAGCGTCTTCACCCCTCACATCAGTGAGCAGTCAGCCAGCACAAAGAAGTATGGTCATCAAAGAAGAGTTTCAAAGTAAGCTGTTGTTTTTAACATTAAACGACTTCTTAAAACTCTTTTTGTTTATTTTTGATTAAGATATAGTTCACTACTGACACACGATTGTTTGACATCTTTCAGGGCAACCTATTGAGAGTTTTTAACTATAAAAATTCAGAATTATTCGTCGCAGTGCATCACTTCCGAGTTCATCAACGAATACATCGTGGATAAGGCACTGTGCAACATTTGATCCATTATTGCCATCATCATCATCTACGGGCTTAACAACGGTTGTAATTGGGCAACGCGGTAAAACTGATCATATAGGTGAACACTGTGTGTTGAAGGGTCAGATGTCAATGGCCTTCAAAAATAAAGATCAGGTAAATTCGATTCGTGCTAAATATTATTGTTTTTCGTACTTGTGACATTCGTTCGGTTTCATACAACTTGTGAGGAGAAATTCAGTCTTTCCACTTTTGATTAATTTTTGCAATACAGATTTGAGGGACTTGTTCGATAAGCATTACCGGAAGGTTAGACAACTATAGTTGTTTTTTTAACATTTCACAATTTTTTTATTTAGAAATTCACCTCACGTCGATGTCGGTCAACCTTCTCGAACGAGGCATTGCTTAATCCCAGTTCTGCGAAGAATCGACGAGCCAAAGATTTCTCCTTATCGGTGGACGAAGAGATTTTAAGTCGTGATATCAATGAACTTACTTTCGAACGCTGGAAAAATGACAGTTAGTTTGTACCGAGTATGCAGCTAATAACTCCTTTACCACAGAGTCTGACGTCAATAACACAATGAGATATTTTAAAATTAAGATTAAATAGTTCAGAACTGTATTTTTCAGGCAATTTTGCCAACTTTGTGCAACAAGGCAATGATGTGGTCATACAACAGCCCTTTCCAGTAGGATTATCTGTTAGTAAACATTCTGTAAGACTTTTAATGATTTTAAATATTTTATTACTGAGGATTCATTGCTAAGTAAGGAAGTAAAAGGTAAAGTTGCTAACAAATAGAATTCATTTTTTCATTGCCAGAAAATGAGAAAATTAGGTTTTGTTGTGCCGTACGAATACATAGATTTTTTTAGGAAGGGACATTTGTAAACACATCGTTACTTGGAACCAAAACCTCTAGTGATGAATTCAGTAATGGGATACGAGGTAGACAGAAAGTTGACTACAACAGGTGTCGCGTTCAGGTACATCCTGTTTTAGTTCTATAAAATAGAGCTATAAGTCTACATACTTTAAACAGGATTCGATAAGGAAGTAATAATTGAAAGGGAAAGTCTAGTCAATTCTTGGCTAACATCTCGTTTTCCTTTTGCTGCTAGCTTCTCGTGTTTCTCCCATTTAGTCCATACACTAAGATGAATATATAAACCCTTTTCTTCTATCCGCTGTTTATTATGTCCTTTTACTTCAAATGAAGACATTTCTACCGAACAGTTTAGAATTATCTTACTTCTCATTTTTTAATCATTTAATCATTTAATCATTACTTCTCATTTTATTACAGTTTGTTTGCTAATTATGATCCTATGATCTATCTTCAATATTTTTAGATGATACGGAACACAGCTGCGCATAAGAGAGCAGTGCATGATGCTAATATCTTGGATCCTTTTTGTATAACAAGGCCAAAATGCGGTCCATGTAGTAAACAGCGGATAGTGCATGAAGATGACAGACATGTTCCCGCAGACGGCGAATACTGTGTTGTTTTGTAACCTGTTTGATGTTAACATAATTTTAATGGTGCACTATGAAGCATCGTCTTTGCTGATTTGTAATATAAACCTATATATATAGCAGCAAAGGAAGAGAACTGAAGACAGAAAGAAAATTAGAAAAAATGAAACAATGGTGGGGAGTGATGAAGAAATCTTGCCAAATGAAATCTTTTCAGTGTGCCAGTTATACTACGCAATTCTTGGAATAAATTAAACAGTCCATATTAATTGCATAATTGCATCATGATGACAGGGAGAACTTATGGGAGAATACGTTCACTTTGCGTAATAGTAGATGCTCAATAAGCCTATTGTCACTATTATTATTCACTTCATCATTTATTTTATTCTGTAACCACTATTTATTTTTTATTTTTTAAACGTCTCCATTGAAAACTCCATAATTAAGATGCTTCCAAATCCTGCCACTATATTTTTTATCGTTTTCAAAAATAACGTACTGCCAAGCGAAAGGTAACATTGTCTTATCTTTCACCCATACCCCATGTTGTGTGATTACTCCTAGTTCAGTTCCTTCTTTGTGCAGAGAAAATTAAACAGAATGAAAGATTGTTCTTATCGTAACTATCACAGCAAGTTGCTGCTAAATGGATAATGAACAATCCTTTCCTGGAACGCATTATGCAATTAGAAATTCAGGTATGAAATGTGCAGTTAAGATGGGAGAACACCTTACTCTCAATGAATCTTTACCTGATACCGTTCTAACTGAAAAACGCTTTACTGGTCAAGTGATCTACCTTTGGAAGTGTTACTGGAAGAAAAAGCGTTACTGTTCTTGGAAATAGTCATAAACTTTTAAATCTTCGCAGTAGGAATTCCCCATGTCATACAAATTAAATCAAGATCTGCTACACATTTGAATATATTACTAGTACTTGCTTTTCGCAGCACTTTTCCAGTCATGGAACCCACAACTGAATCTTCTTTTGTACTTTGTAACGGTCTGTAAAAACAAGCTTGTATACTGAGAAACAGAAAATACAGTTTTAGAAGACATAAAATTAACTCTCATATGCCCCCATATTTTCAAACATGGCTCCATAAATCAAGAACTGGTCTACAGAACTTGTTGATTGCAGTGCGGGGAATCTTCATCAGTGTTCCCGGCAATCAGTATGATTCGAACTGCAAAAACTACCTCGTCTACACTGTTGTGTAAATAGACGCCGCTATAAAAATCATATACTCCGATAAATAAACTCTACAATATTTATTAACAGTTCTTAGAAAACCAGTCTTATGTATTTAAAATTGTAAATAAGGATGCAGTTCATATTAATGCAAAGAATGACTGGGATTCGATGCTTGGAATTCCTCGAAAAAATAGCTAATTTCTGATTATAAGGTACTACAAAACCAACAATAAACTGATTCTGGCGGAAACGATGTTAATGAAAGACCAATTTTGACATAAAATAGAGGTATGCTTTTTTGAATTTACTGCGCTTCATATTGACATTTTCTTGGAACATTCTTAACCTTGCACCTATCCTAGTAACGGACATGCATAGCATAAACATCCCTCATATTGAAGCACCGATGTCAGCTTTTAAACTTTTCCGTTCAATTCATTCACTCATTAATCACGATGTCAAATGGTTTTGCTCTTGACATCGTACTTCGAAATTTTTGAAGTTACAACTTTTGCAAATTCAGATTCAAACTGAACTTCAATTAAAATTCTTAGTGTGTTGAGTCGGTCCCCAGCAATTTCTCTACTACTTCCTCCCTAATCTGCTCTCCATCGTCACCCTCTTTACATCGATCCATTGAAGATACGGCTTGGTCAGCAAGTCCCAGTGCATGCCGAAAAAGTGGGATAATCTCAGCATCAGGTGGACCACACGGAAACTGATCATCCAGCATTAAAACCAGCTTGCTTAACAATTGAAACTGTGTTTGAAGTGTCAATTGTTCGCCTACTAATAACTTATATTGGGAGGTATTGGCTTCTTGCTTTTTAACTTGCAATACCTTTTTCCAGCGAACAACATCTAAAGAGATAATCAATCTGTGATTATATGGTCGGAAAAGCGGTATGATAACCGGTAACTTGCTATTATCAAACAGCATCTCGGGTAGCATCGTGTTATATACTAAATCATATGAAGTTTTTATTGCATTGGCAGACGTAATGCTCTCTTCCGAGTGATTATTCCGATGCAAATTAGAACTGTTGAAATAGAATGCCGCCGCGCTTGTAACCAAAATTCCGTGACAGTCAGCGGTACGGTACTTTAATTGAATGGCAAAATTTTCATCCGGCAGGAATTTAATTAGCTTCAAAAGTATAAGCTCGCGAAATTGTTCCAGATCACTAACTAATGCACACTGGCGGCTGGACGATTCATCCAACCGTTCGTCAAAAAAGACTGGTAGGAAAGCAGTAGTCTTATGTCCACGAGCAATAAAATAAAACAAAAGCTTCACCAATGCTTGCATCGGATATGGTTTCATAATCCTGAATCCCCGACGTATCTGAGTTGGTTTCACCTCTCGAACGTAATTCTCAAGGCAGCCAATATGATCATCCAGTGTGTATTTTTCATCGTAACTTATGCCAATCAACGGCCCGTCGATAACAACCTGATAATTGTTCGCATTCAAATTCTTATGATGTTATAGTCAATCACAAAATTCCCGGGAAATCTGATCAAGATAATCTGATCAAGGTAGTAACTAACCGGTCGTAGCAATGTTCCTGCCGTACGCTCGACTAATGATCGCTTGACATTTTCAAACGATATAATTTTTGATAACTGTGTATCATACATAATATATCTGCTATTAGCACAATTACTTTCACCACCGTGCATTTCCATTGAAATCCTTCGACGATCCTGTAATGAAGCACCAAATCGGCATCTAGAAATGTTTAAAAAATTTTTGCTACAATAAACTTCTATAGAGAAGATAACGATCGCTACTGCTCTTCTTCACTGTTAATAATAAAATACAAGAGATATCACGCTCTCTTATACCAACAGGAATATGAAGGCAACAGATGACCGTAATGAAATTGATCAGCAAATACATAACACATAAAAAATATTTATCAAACCATATATGGGAGATCATACAATGAGTCATAAACAATAAAATGAAGAAAATGCACTCTCAGCACTGAAAATCATTCATTTTGAAATGATGAGATCCCTCAGACATTTCTCCTGGACCAGACATCTCCCTGAAACTAATCACCAGTTTCAAAAAATTAAAGCATGGGTGAAGAATGAACCGATCCCCGTTGAGTAAAGATGAGGAATCCTGGAAGAGCAATAAAAAAAATCAATAGAAAACCTTTAATCCCTAACTTAATTTTCATTTTCTGGACCAGATTGTCGCAGATGATGAAACAGATATAATCAGTTAAATTTCTCCCCGGAGAAGTTTAATACCAATTAAGGTGTACTGAAAAGCTCCTATCCATTTAGGCACCGATGCAACCTTGCAAAGAACGCAGTTGATGGGAATTTTAATTTCCCTAAATTTTAATTCCCTGATTTCACTGTCATGCCGTTCTGTAATTTCCCATATGAAATAATAGGAAAACTCGTATTTTTTTTCTATCTTTTTTCCAGTGAAGCATTTGTTGCTGACAAGAAAAGGCATGAAAATGCAAATCAACGAAAATGAAATATAATTCGATGACTATCTACTGTGAAAGCATTATTACAACTCACCAGGTTGATGAGTTTTCACGAGACATTCGAAGAGCCACTGAATTCTCTATTGATATTTTTGCCATGTCAACAACCTCAACACCTCATATCATTTATATACATTGAACATCATGAAAATTGGAAATTTTTTGAAAATGAAACAAGGGAGTTTCATTTATATCCGAAAAAGATATGAAGATAGGCAAAAGAAATACCCAAAACTCACCACCGACTCGTTGAGATAACAAGTCGAATTTCCAATAATTGATGACTCCGTACCAGATTTAGATATACTTTCTGCAGAAAGTGGCTGTTGTAGATAATGAAAATTCATGTTAATCTATTCATCACAAGTTCGAAGAGCTTTGAAGTGTGATGTGGATAAATAACAGAAATTAGACTCTTAAATAATAATAAATTCATACTGTAAGTTCATACTGTGTGCAAAATAAGTTGGTTTAGGGAGATAAATTTTTCAGATAAGGTGTGCTGTATCATAAAATATATTAATATACAAACCGGAGGTAACTGATGTTTTTGGCGTCTCGACATTTCGTATCGAATGCAAATTTTTGGTTGCAGTAGTTGATCGCGATACGGGAATGGTCATGCTGCTAAAAATGAAACTGTTTCTGGAAACCACTTTTTGATAACAAGCAGCAATATATCTGACAGAAAAAGGGATGATTCTTCTACTTACAATAATTGACTTCACACCGAATATGGCTGCGTTCCATAGTTTTTTTCCTGACTTGAATGATAAAATTCTCTTCTTCAACTGACTCAATAACTTATTAAACTTATGGCTCTCGAATTTCACTTATCTTATGATGTTAGATCATCAAAATCTTCAAAACTATGAAGCATTCTTGTGAAAGACTTGTCGAACTTCAGAATACAAAGTCAAATATGGTAGGATAAGAAAGCAGTGACTTACTCGACTGATGTGTTGTTATGCTGCTGAAGTTCAACTTTATTCATCAGCTCTCTGCAAATTTTAACCTTAAAAGCATAAAAATAGAATGAAAGCATTTTCCCTCTTTCTTGAATAACAAATTTCTGGAAATATATCATACCTTTCCAAAATTATTTTTTTATGTAGAATTTCGCAACAAAACCGACGAAGTTTCTCGTAATTAATTCGCTGAAATTCAAAAAATATAATGATTCAAAAGGAGATCAACTTCACTAGTTGCAGTGCTGCGCAGATACTGTATTCCCAAGACAGCATGATATAATCTGAAGAATCCAAAAGTAGCTTAAAAAAGACATGTATTTCAGAAAATTTCATTGAATAATAACACTTCTAAACCAGTTGAATCGTTTCTTTCAGAATGTCAATCTCATCCCAGCGTCTCTTCCTATTCTTATATTAAACTGAAAACTCAACTTGGTTGATAAATAGTCTATACTGGTAAGGATAATGAGCTAACCATTGTGTTAAAACGTTTCACCAAACATGCAGCATGCATTGTTTGAAATCTGATTACTTGCATAATTTCAACCATTGATTCAGCCAATAATTCTTTGGGACATCGAAAATATGTCTGAACCTTAAAAAAATCATCATCATCTGGGATAAGAACTGCCGAAAAGACGATATTAGCATGAATCACCATGAAATCTCGTGATTGCTGCAGCTAAAAGACAAACCATTTGAGGCATATCGCGACTAATTCTGCAAATTGTAATCTTCTTCTTACAGTACAGGCATGCACGAGCCATATCTACAATACTTATTAAATGAGTGGATTGCAACGCTGACTACAATGAAATGAAGCATAATTCTCACTTTGAGTTAGATATCATTTCGCTCTGACATTTATTTACATGTAAAAGTGTAAAAGCATTAGTTTAGAAACAGATTGAAACCTATGGAAAAATAGTACGGAGAAGAATTTACTGGTCACAAATAAAGATTAACCTCGGGAAGACGCAATGCCAATTAAACATTTGCCACAAAATATGTGACCGCACTTTGTTAGATAAAATGCAATGCGTGAAGGTGAGGTTGACGCTGAACGGCAACATATGTTACACATAATCCAATTTTGTCCTGGTATAACATCATCTCCGTCCGACATTTCCTGATCTGTTGGAAGAACTACAAGCACGGAGTGAGTCCCTGAGCTCAAAATTATCAGCAGGCTCATAAAACATCAGGTATATAGTTTGTGCAAAAATATCCTCGCGATTTGACATAATTTATCAGATGTCGCCTTTTAAATATTAGAGGATAAATGGAGCATCCACTGATGATGAATTTCGATTTGCGAGGAATATTTAACACATTCTAATGATATTGAGAATACATATATTAAATACTTTATATAAAAACAACAAAGAAACATATATATATATATATACATATACGAAATGGTATTGACACCTTAGTTTAGGCATGTTATAGTATTTTCTTTTTTTATTCCAAACATTTAAAAAAGCAAAGCAAATAGATCGAATACAAAGTGTGACATATAGAGAACTGCTTAACGCATGTGTCATCTGTCAGTTTGGAGTATTTCTTCGCAGTTAAGACGTAATTAACATGAAAAAGAAAGGTAAATATATTAAATATTTTATATAAAAACAACAAAGAAA